CGCAACTTAAATTGGAGCAAACAATTATTGATTATTGAAAACGATTTAACGACCTCTCTAGAAGTACATGAACCTTAAACACGCAGAAACGGACTACTAGTACAAAACGTGCAATTCCGTGTAATATTTAGGACATGCAATTTTCTTAAGCATTTTTTTCTTTCTTTTCTGCATTATCAACAATAAACGAATTGCAGTAACAGGTCACGTGACCCTAGCTACTTTCCTTAAATCGATCGAAAAATTGTCTCAAAATGAACTACCGAGATAAATGAAAAGAGCACCTCGCTATTAATATACGAAGACATTTTTTCATACGAAAACGTGTGACACAGAAGAAATGGCATTATATGAATATAAAATGAAAAGTTATGTAAGTGGGATTTGTATGTGGAAATGTGATGGCTGTCAAGCCCTTGCTTCTTTCGCTCATTCGTTGTTTCTTACTGCGAGAATGTGGAAGGGGTTGAACAGTTAACTGACAACTTACCTAAAAATTAGTAACTGGCAATGAATCGGGTACCCGCATCTACACCCGCTTAGTAATGTTAGCATTCGCAAAACATCATACTATGCATCATTCAAAAACGAATCAACTTTACTTCATAACGCGGAAGACATTGATGCATATTGCGCTAAAAGATAAAATGTTTTTTATATATTGACTTAAATCAAAGTCAAAGAAATAACTCTTTGCTCCGAAGTTCGCCTTCCAACCCTATTTTTTACCCAAATTTTACTGCAATAAGAAATTAGAGGCACAGCAAATACTGTCTCGTTATATTATCTGATACCGTTTCTACACAATTAATTTCGTAATAGTCAAGCCTCATCAAACATAAGAACTTCTATAAAGTTGATTAAATGATCACTTCATATCAACAACTGCTTTACAGCAAAAAAGTGTGCCATGTTAAGAGTGTTCTATAAAATGGGTGGCTTTTTTGAAGGGAGAAGTATTTATAAGTGACTGTGAACCAATAATTATTGGAATATAGCATTATGTATCAATAATTGATATCGTTATTAAGTCATGGATAGAATACAATTAGATACACTGCAGCAAATTGAATTTAACTCTGCTTTCCTTTGTGCGTGGTAAACGTTTGCCAGCCAAAAAATCTAACTGTTTTTGTCGTCCATAATTAGAAAATAATTCAAGAAAATAAGAATGAGGATCTTGCGATGAAAAAATAGAGAAATATTTTCGCTTTCTAGTTCATCTTATATATCAATAAAAATACATAATTACGTTAAATGAAGTCGAAACATATTTGAGGCTTATAAAAATAGAAACAAAGAAACCAAAGAATTCTCAGTTTACGTTTATTTAGGGGTCAAAGAATTTTCCAGAATGCGCCTGGTACTTTAATAAGCTTCTGTTTATGAGAACAAAATATTATTCCAACCTTTGAATGAAGTCGAAACATATTTGAGGCTTATAGAAATAGAAACAAAGAAACCAAAGAATTCTCAGTTTACGTTTATTTAGGGGTCAAAGAATTTTCCAGAATGCGCCTGGTACTTTAATAAGCTCCTGTTTATGAGAACAAAATATTATTCCAACCTTCAACAAAACAGAGTGCTAAAAACATAGACTTATGGTTTCTTGACGAATTGAATTGTACAGAAATAAAAATATTCTTTATTTATCAAAGAGATCAAAATTTGCACCATTTTTTGCTGCGATTTGATCGCAGTACGGCCTTGCGGTTCGAGATCCGTGGGATTCGTTCGCGACAGTGTTGCAAAACGTGTTCAAATTAGCAGACGTCACTGTACGTGGTGGGGAGCGTGGATAGAAGGCAGGGGTTTTTTTAGCATTAAAATGTTTGACTATCGATCAGGATCAGATATGGCTTTAATACTGTTGCAATTATTCGAGACTTCTTCTTATTGGAGCTTGTCTTTGTTGATAGTCCTTGTCTCTTGATTTTCCTATGAATAATTTTTTCTTTTGATTTTTTTGTTTTTTTGTTTAATTTTGTTTTTTTACGTAATGGCGAATCTTATAAATAAAAAAAGTAGGCTATTCGTGTCGCTTTCAAACCGCAATAATACTGGCTAACCCAAATATTTCAAATGGTTCAGACTTGGGAGCGACTGTGTTAGAAGACATATTTCCAAGGTGTCATCTATTTTTTCCCCAAAACATCCCTAAATGGCATTGCAAATCCAAATCGACCCAGAGTTTTCCCTCAACCTCGGAACGGCTAATAGATCGATATTTCTTTAGGCTTTGATGATAACTGATGTCATAGGTCATTCGAGGTTTCAAGACCATAATAAGTGTTTATATTTTTTCTCTATCCTAGTGTATCAAACCTCATATATGCATTTCCACGACCGGCTTTTGCGGTGACACCTATGAATGCGGTACAACGCCCACCAACCATCTGCTTTCACAATAAGCATTGTTGTTCAATTTAGAGGTACTACCCTTTTTTTGAGTGGTCAGTAAAACATATAAAAGCGCGTTAAGTTCACTCCTTTATTCAACCCCAAAACGCAATCAACAAACATCAATATTTCAGTGGAAAAAAGGGCTGATTCCAGGAAAAGAGAATCTCTGTCAGTAAACATGGCATCATCGTCATACTTCATTGTTCTCGTAATTGCCAGTGTTATGCTTCTCAGCCAGGTTTCTGGGTTCTATCTTGAAGACGAAAAGCGGCCTGAAGGCTTCCGCGGTAAGCAAATTCCCTTCTATTAACTATGAAAATATCTGCTCAGTGACTCGGCAAAGAACCAAAATCCTTTTCCATAATGATTCATTTGACAATATAACTTGATTTTAGCCGACGAGACCAAAATGATGCCAAAAACGCGTGGCGGGTTGCAGCCCTCACTTCGAATCAACTAAATTAAAAAACAAAATGAAATCAGTATAATCTTAATGAAATTTCAGTGGTGTCAGTATAGAGGCGTTGCACCACCACGTGATGAAAGCAATGACAGCAGGCACAACAATTCTTCGTTTGCACATGACGTTATAGCCGCCATCTTAGTTGGATTTAACATGCCTGCCGTGTCTTTTGTTATTTCCCTTCTTTGAGAAAGATTGAGACTGAGTCAGCACTATAGACTCTTTTCTCCTCTTGGAAACTGAATTCTTTCTCATGATCAGACTAGACCAGAGTCAATTGTTCGTGGCCGCCAAAACGTGATGATGCAAAGCCTCTCTACAATTTATTTCCAATAGGGATTGTTTAAAGTTCCAAAACTAATATGTAATGATCATTTCTCAATTGACACGTTTTTCTTTGTTATTCACAAGGCTTTATTTTTGTTATAACCCTCATTATAAATGCGAGGTCAATATATAGTTAGTTATTAACCCGGTTAATAACTATATATAGACTTTGCATTTATAATGAGCAACATTTGATAGAAAACTTTCTCAATTGATAAATATAATAATTAATATCACCGAGAACGGAGGCAATAAGCCTATACATTCCTCGGGCCTACGGCCCTCGGGATGTATATGGCTTATTGCCTCCGTTCTCGGTAATTAACTCTTACTTATCGTATTTTATTTTCATGTTCGGGGGTAGAACAAAAACCAACACGTCTTCCATCAGGTAACATGCTCAGATACAAGTTGACTAAACTGAATTTTTCAATGGACTGATCGATCGTAAAAATAATTGAGGAAAGGGATCGAGAGATCAGTATTCAGTAAAAAGAACTACTTGAGCTGCCTCAAATAAAATACACCAAAAATAGCCACTCGCATGCCACTTTCCATATATCAGTTCATTGGTCTTATAGTACACTCAACAAAATTACTCGACTCTGATTGGTCGAGAGGAGTACAATTATAGCGTTAATTGTACTCCGTAGGAGTACCGAGTTAAGTCGCTATGGCAACAAGGCCAAAACAATGTCAAAACAATTATTTTATATCATTTTGTACTTAAAAAACATAAATAAAATTTTAAAGCCGTAAGAACTAATCTTTTTTTATACATTTCAGTTGCACGATGGACTGGAAATCGGCCGCCAAATAGACAAAGATGAACGGCGTCGCTTCGCATTTTTTACTGAAATTTTGTTGAGTGAACTATAAACAAAAAATCGCACGATCTTCTCGTACAATTTGGAATTAATAGATACTTGTAATGTTTTGAAAGATCTTTAATTGTACTCGCCTAAAGGCTCGTGCAATTACAAGAACTTTCAAAACATTACTCGTGTCTATTAATTTCCAAATTGTACTCGAGATCGTGCGATTTCCTATACAAACACAAAGCATCCAATCGAGACTGCAAGGTAGTATAATTCTAACCTTGCAGCCTCGCGTTGCCTTCAAACCGAATTATTTAAAGTCATGGTATTTGCGTCAGTTTCTGTATCTGCATTTACTGTATCGTTGACCCAGATGCCTCGACTTAAAAAAAGTGCCTTTTGAAGCCAATAGAGTGTAACTCTGATATCTGCTATTAAGATGAGTGTAAAACCAAAAAAAGGGTGTATCATCTGCCAGCTAATGGTACAATTTACATACAACTTACTATCTTTCATGTCCAAATTCAGTACATTAAGATAGTAGACCTCATTTCAGTATTTTTCTATGTACCAGTCCTCTCCTTTTCCATAACCTTTCGCTTTCATCTTTGTTTGAACAGGTTGTATCAACCGTTTTAGTGACTACATCTGCGGAGAGGTGAGATTGATCAGGGTTTAAGGCTTTGCTATGGGGATTTGTTCTGCTTGTCTGGGTCTCTCTATCTGTCTGTCTGTCTGCCTGTCTGCCTGTCTGCCTGTCTGCCTGTCTGCCTGTTTCTATCTTACTACTTCTTTTCCTACCTGCTTGCCTTCCTTGCCTGTTCTTGTCTTACCTGTCTGCCTGTCTGCCTGTCTGCCTGTCTGTCTGTCTGCTTGTTTGTTGTTAACCAATGCCTGCTTTTCTGGGTCTCTCTCTATCTGTCTGCCTGTTCTTGTCTTACCTGCCTTTCTGTTTGCTTATTTAGTTCAGTTTGTTTGTTCTACCTGGTCACATGGCTTAGGTCACCCATAAGAGTTCTTCAGCCAAGGAGTATCCTGTTAATCTATTATTCACCTGCAATCCAATTATAACTTGTTTTTGTTGTTATTAGGTCATACGGAAAGAACATTGTGTATTGTATGGAAAAAAGCGAATGAACAAATTTGCCGAAAGGTACTGCACAAAGTTTTGCGGATTCTGTTGACCAGGTTGGTAATAAAGAAATTGTTGAAACATTTCAAAATCACTCGAGAAACTAACATCAGAGCACATGTCAACGTCAGCTGTAATTACGCATTCTCAAACCATCATTTCCACAGCCATCTCGTACCCAGAGCCTGCGTTTCTTCATAATCAATTTTTTGGCGCGTGCGCAATTTTCCGGAAGTGAAAAATAATAAATGAAAAACATGCTTTCAGACAAAATTCTGTGTTTACTTCCGATCAAAATAAAAATTAGAACTATCGGAAACATATTTTTTAAATTTTGTTAAGTCTTTAAACGCATGGAAGTATACCGGAAGTCCAAGAAATCCTGGTCTCAAAAAGTGGATAGGCTAGAGCCCTCGTTCTTCGCCGCAGGCCAGAATAAACGCAGGCTGTGGGTACGAGATCGTATCAGGAATGTTTGAATCGAACGATAACTAAAATTTAGATAGGCTTTAATTTTGTTGATCGAGAGTAATGCATTGAACAACTTAATTAGAATTATGACAGCAAACGCCACTGCATGTGTTGGTAGTCATTATTGAAAACGCCCTAAAACGGAGTACATTATTTAAGAAAAATATATATGATTTATGAAATATATGAGATATAACGCGTGCACTCATTGGTTGGCTACTGTGTATATATCAGAAAGCTATCTCGGAAAGACTTGCTCGCGTAAAATCATTCAAAAATATTTTATAAAAGCAATATAAAACGCATGTTTATGTCTCTGTTTTGCGATGCTACGTCTCGTGTTACTAAGTTTGCTTCTCTCTTGCTCTACAGCTCCTAGCGCGTTCATATCACGGCACAGAGAAATGCGCCCGCGTTTTATATCCCTTAATTGAATCATCCGCGTTTTATATCCCTTAATTGAATCATGTACCAAGCAAGGACTTACCGTTTCCATTTTAGTTAATGTCCTAAATTGGCCATCATATTCAATTATACTACTTATCTGTTTTTAGCTTAAAGGCATATAATAATGATCAAGTATCACCAAGCAGCAAGTAAAACAACACACGAGCCAAATACAAATACACAGACAAGGAATGTAATGAAAATTGACAATCCGTTTTACTAGATAAACGAGTTTTATGAAGCAAAAGTATCACCAATAAAGTTAAAATTGAAGTTAAAGATTATGAGGCATGTTTTTGTCTCGGACTTGTGACGTTTAATTTACATGATTTTTTTTTTTTTTTTTTTTTTTCTTTTTTTTTTTTTTTTTTTTTTTTAATTGAGATCTCAAATTTCTCAAATGAATTGGAACCCAAGGCTCTTTGAATCTATTTTAAAGGCTTTTTAAACTTTTAGCATAAAATAACATCTCACTCTAACCTTTCACTATTGGATATATTCGTAACAGACCCTGGGGGGACAAAACATTAGACCCATTGTATTCAAAATGGTCTATTTGCCATCATATTCAATTATACTACTTATCTGTTTTTAGCTTAAAGGGGTTTATATATACGATATTGATAAAGAAAGCGTTATCCATTTAGAGGAACTGAGGAGGAAGGCGTGAGATGTTATTTTCCTTAGCGTTTGTGATAGAAGTCTAGAAAGCCTGGCTCTGAAATAAAGGACCAAAATGATCCCAGGAGCCACGCCCTTCCACCTCCAATAACGTACTTTAGTATATTGAGCTGGAGATTTCCCAATGTGAAAAGGATACAAACTTAAAACGTCACGATTTTCATTTCTCACCTATATTCCTTCTTTCCCTCTCTGATCAAATCACGTGTATTTCCACGTTGCATTGCTAAGACTTTCAAAACCAATTTTTTCTAACACCACAATTGCCCTACTTCACTATGACGTCACATCAAAACAATATTCAACAATCTATTGCTTAAACGCAAAGGATCATGGTCGTCGGACGGGGTCAAATTAACGCAAACTAACCAAAAATTATTCTAAATCCCGTATCATTCCACGAAGAGAAGTAGAATAGCCAGCAAACGCTCAGAATATTTCTTAGTATATATTAACACATATTATATCTGAAAACCAGGCCATTTTAGATTAAACTGTTTCGCTAGGAGCAAATATAGTTGAATTTTCTATTGGATTTGGCGATCCTATCCCCGACAAAAAACAAGCAGTGACGTCATAGTGAATTAGGTCAATTTGCCTTGAATCATTTCTATCATTAAAAAAAAAATAGTTGTCGTGGCCGAGAAACGTTTTTAGCCAAGGTCTTTCCAATATTTGTGCTTATGGCATCTTGTTTCTTTATAAACAAAAACATTATTAAGAGCGACTGTCCAGAAATATCGAGCAAAATCGAAAATTTGTGGCCACAATCAAAAAA